ATATATAATATTTGTTTTTATATAATAATTATATAAAAATAATAAATTATTTAATTTATTTCTTTTTAATACGAATCGTCTGTAAATTCTCTCGATAGATCTTTCACACGATTATATTATATTCCGTAAATCGTAATTAAAAACAAAAAAAGTGAGAAGAAAGAAAACAATTGTTTACATTAGAGTAACAAATCTTATCAGCAAACACAAATTTGTCCTGTTATTTTCTTGATTTAAATATAAACCGAAATTCTAATTAATAAGAAACTTGTCATCAGATTCGCGTGTTATAATACATGTATTTTATTTACCTACACAAAACATGATGCAGAACACGCGTTTAGGGTCGCGCACGTGCGTCCAAAGATACCAGAATAAACAAATCTCATTGGACGATACAACTTTTAGCTTTAAGGGGGTCGTATGATGAGTAATACACCCTTGACTTTACCATAATATTGTTTTCATATGCAATATTAAAAATGAAACGTTAAATATAATATTATAATTGAAAATATTTGTATGTTACCTAAATCAAAAATATTTTGTATTCTTCTTCTTCTTTAGAAAAAAAGAAAAAAAAAGAAAAAAATTCACGAAAATAAAGAAAACACAATCTTTTCGATAGATAATAATATTTTTATCTTATTGTTAATTTTTTTCAAATAAAATAAATGAAATATATATTTTTTTTATACGTTTAACTAACTACATCAAATTTTAATAATATGACGTACGATTTAACGATGTGAATCTTTGAAGTATTTTAAACATCGATAGAAATAGGAAGAAAGCAATAAACATATCATATATTCTTTTAACTATTCAAGATAAACGCAATTGAGATATTGTAAACTACTCGAAAGTGTTACACTGTCGATTATCGTAATGGAACTACTCATAAAGTTACGTGAACTATCGTAATATACATAAAATTCACGTAAAATAACCAATAAAAGAAAAATCATAAAACTATCCCTTCAATTATGGTATTAATTATCGAAATTTCTTCATTTAAAAATATTTCATATTTAAATAACTTTAAAAGAAACAAAAAATTAAAATACATATTATAATATATAATATAACAATATACTAATTATACTAAATATATAATACTAAATTAGTATGTTATATAATTTAGTATATTGGATTAATATATTATAATTTATTTATATATATATATATAATATTTATGTTATATAAATATATAAAGTACAGAAATTTTATATTAAATACTAAAAAATATTTATAAATATATTAATAATATATAATTGTATTATAATATTTGTATTATAATAAAATAATATAAAGATTATTTTTTTTTATAATAAATTAAATAATAATATATCAATATATCAAATTAATAAATTTGTAT